AATTGTTGTACAATATTTCAAATTAGTATATATAAGGTAAATATTAAATTTTATATACAATTTTACCTTATTATTTACCGAAACATTTGTAAACTTATATTTAATTTTACCTTATAAAACCGGAAACCTATTTTAACTTTACCTTACATATCCGGAGACCTTTATTTGTCATATATATAATTTTACCTTTATCTATTAAGAGACCTAAAATTTTTTTTTAATATAAATTTTACCTTATATTTTCGGAGACCTCTATTAGAAGTAAGCGGGGTCCTACTTTGACCCTATAAGGTTCATTGTTATCAATCCAATGTACTGCTTATTTCTAAGCATCGCAAGATGGATAGTGAAAAGAATTTGGGTTGATGAAGGAATTATGAACCAACAATCGTTTATAAAAATTTAAAAAAAAAATGGATGAGTTTCAGATTCCATCTGATTTGGGATGAATCCCTGGAAAAATCTATTGCAGAGAAGAATTTTCAAATTTTACAGCAGATCAATGGCATTATGGCAAATCTTTTTCACAATTTATGCTACGATATCGCTATAAAGTCACCTTTCAGTTAGGGTTTTGATCCAGATCTGGTCAATCCAGATTCAAATCCAGATTCCCTTGTTTTTTGGACATCTGGATCTTACTTTTTTGTAACGGATGAATCCGTTTTTATTAATTTGAGCCAGCACTATAAATTTGGCCAGAGCTAGCAAATTTTGCAGACAGTTAATCTTTGACGTTTAATATTAATTCCAGTCTAAATTATAATTTTGGTCAGAATTAAAGTCAAATTCAGAATCTGGATTCAAAAAAATATCTTATTTTTAGACCAAATTATTTTGGGTGACAAATCTCATTTATTATTATGGAAAGAAATACTTATTAAGGCTTATGTTTCTATTTCTTCACAACGGAAAGAAGTTAAATGGTATACAGACATTAGAAATTTAATTACTTCAGAATCCAGATTTGCAAGAGAAGATCCAGATTCTATCCGAATTGCTTTAAAAAATAGGATCAAAACCCTACTTTCAGTACATGATCAGAAAATTTTCCATCATTTTGTAAAAGTTTGTACAGCTTTCATAAGTCAAATTTTAGAACTTGATGCTGTGAGAAAATCGCATGAGAGATTGATTAAAATTGTGAAGTTGATTGAGAAACATTATGGATGAGATAAAATTATTCCCAATCTCTATCTTTCACTTCATTTAAGTGAAT